TTTAAGAGCTGATGGACCTAGATGGCACCCTCTAAAAAATTAGTGGACTTCTAGTGCATTTTACTCTTTTAAAAATAAAATGTGAATTCTATTTGTGCACATATATATGTGAAGTAAGCTTTACTTGGGGACTTCGGAAAGTCCATATAGCTTGACAACACAACACTGGCATTTTTTATATTCATTAACGAAACCAACTTTTATAATACATGACTATTTTTAATTAAGATAATATATTTACATAGGTATTGCTAGTCTAAGTTTGAAAAACATTGGAAATTGAGTTATTGTGGTAGAACCTACCCACCTAGATTCGAGTCTCCAATTTATCGTGGAGTTGTCGTATTGTGCCCATCAACATTGCTTTAATATTGGGTGAGTGTGTAATTGTGTGTGTGTGTGTGTGTGTGTATGCATGTATGTGGGTGTACTATATGCCTTAAAGAAAAAAGTTTGAAAGTTTTGGCTCACGACAAACCTAAATGCACTTGTATTTGCAATTGAGTAAAATGTGTGTAGGCGGTCCCAAACTTGTCCTATGGTGTCATCCACGTCTATAAAACTCTGAAAATGCTTTTTTTTAAGTCACCAAACTTATCCTATAGTGTCATCTAGGTTCTAAACATTCAAAATATCACTTTTCGATCCGCAAACCTATAATAGGGTGTTATCTAAGTTCATACGATCGTGACCTACTCCGTTCTTTGATGTGGCAAGCCTTTTGGAAGATCCCTCATGGCTTATAGGTATGGATGAAAACGGTACGGATATTTATTCGACCGTCCGTTCGACCGAACAAATATGAACACTTATTCGGATAGTTACTCGGATATCCGGTTTTTTTTTCGGATACGGATACTAAAACGGATACCTTAGGCGGATATCAAATACGGATGTAATATCATCGATATCCGGCGGATATCGGATAATCCGGATAAGTATCGGATATATCCGGATATTTAAAAACGGATATTATCCGGATATTTATTCAAAATTTAAAAATCACAAATTTTAACCATCCAAACTATTTCAAATGGAAAGTTGACCAAAACAACAATTGTAGATCTTGATGAGTTGAACAAACTTGGTATTCAAAACTTTTCAATTTGAAGTCATTTAGAGTTCATAATACTAGAGTCAAAGTGTTGTTTTTTCATTTGACCAAATTTGACTTGGTCAAACTTGCTCAAATGAGACACTAAATGACCTCAGATGAAAAAACTTTGAATACCAAGTTTGATCATCTCAGCAAGATCTACAATTGTTACATAGCTCATTTTTTCCATTTGAAAAAGTTTTATCAAACACTAGTCATAAATTCTTGAATCTCATATAGACTTTCTGAAACTATGTCACACACTTGTGAAATTTGAACTATATTTTATTCAAACTTTCTCAAATGAAAAAATGGCCTATATAAGGATTGTATATCTTGATGAGATGAACAAATTTGGTATTCAAAACTTTTCAATTTGAGACAATCTAGGGTTCCGAAAACTAGTTTGTACATGTCGAAATTTAAAAATCACAAATTTGAACCGTCCAAACTATCTCAAATGGAAAGTTGACCAAAACAAAAATTGTATATCTTGATGAGTTGAACAAACTTGGTATTCAAAACTTTTCAATTTGAAGTCATTTAGAGTTCATAATACTAGAGTCAAAGTGTTGTTTTTTCATTTGACCAAATTTGACTTGGTCAAACTTGCTCAAATGAGACACTAAATGACCTCAGATAAAAAAACTCTGAATACCAAGTTTGATCATCTCAGCAAGATATACAATTGTTACATAGCTCATTTTCCCATTTGAGAAAGTTTTATCAAACACTAGTCACAAATTCTTGAATCTCATATAGACTTTCTGAAACTATGTCACACACTTGTGAAATTTGAACTACATTTTGTTCAAACTTTCTCAAATGAAAAAATAGCCTATATGAGGATTGTAGATCTTGATGAGCTGAACAAACTTGGTATTCAAAACTTTTCAATTTGAGACAATCTAGGGTTCCGAAAACTAGTTTGTAAGCATCGAAATTTCAAAATCACAAATTTGAACCGTCCAAACTATCTCAAATGGAAAGTTGACCAAAACAAGAATTGTAGATCTTGATGAGTTGAACAAACTTGGTATTCAAAACTTTTCAATTTGAAGTCATTTAGAGTTCATAATACTAGAGTCAAAGTGTTATTTTTCATTTGACCAAATTTGACTTGGTCAAACTTGCTCAAATGAGACACTAAATGACCTCAGATGAAAAAACTCTGAATACCAAGTTTGATCATCTCAGCAAAATCTACAATTTTTACATAACTCATTTTCCCATTTGAGAAAGTTTTATCAAACACTAGTCACAAATTCTTGAATCTCATATAGACTTTCTGAAACTATGTCACACACTTGTGAAATTTGAACTACATTTTGTTCAAACTTTCTCAAATGAAAAAATAGCCTATATAAGGATTGTAGATCTTGATGAGCTGAACAAACTTGGTATTCAAAACTTTTCAATTTGAGACAATCTAGGGTTCCGAAAACTACTTTGTAAGCATCGAAATTTAAAAATCATAAAATTGAACCGTCCAAACTATCTCAAATGGAAAGTTGACCAAAACAAGAATTGTAGATCTTGATGAGTTGAACAAACTTGGTATTCAAAACTTTTCAATTTGAAGTCATTTAGAGTTCATAATACTAGAGTCAAAGTGTTGTTTTTTCATTTGACCAAATTTGACTTGGTCAAACTTGCTCAAATGAGACACTAAATGACCTCAGATGAAAAAACTCTGAATACCAAGTTTGATCATCTCAGCAAGATATACAATTGTTACATTGCTCATTTTCCCATTTGAGAAAGTTTTATCAAACACTAGTCACAAATTCTTAAATCTCATACAGACTTTCTAAAACTATGTCACACACTTGTGAAATTTGAACTACATTTTGTTCAAACTTTCTCAAAATGAAAAAAATGGCCTATATAAGGATTGTAGATCTTGAATCCATGACCATGACTCCATGAGACCCATGAAGCAATGTGCTTGGCTATTTCTACTCATGCCGCGAAGATTAGTGCTTATATGATGTTTGATGTATGATGTATCTGTATCTTTATCTTATTTGTTGCTTTACTCTTTAGTCTTTCGGCTTAATCTAGATGGATTATGGACTCATAGAGTGGTGTAATGGTTTGCGCACGTATGATATATATATATATATACTGCTTTTACTCAATATCCGAATAGATATTTGTATCCGACCTTCTCCGAATCCGATTCATACCGTATTCGATACTCATTATTCGTATCCGTAACCGAGTCAATCCGTATTCGTATATGTATCCGAACGCTATCCGTGTCCGAATCCGAATCCGAACAGAAATATGAAAACAAATATAATATGAGTGATATCCGTTCGTATCCGATCCGTTTTCATCCCTACTTATAGGTCTTGACCAGTGAGTCTCAAACAATGGTAAGGCCCACAAGTCGGTCTTTTGCGCTCCATCTCTATGCTCCTCTCTCTCTCTCTCTCTCTTAGTGCCACCAAGCACATCTTGTAGGGTTCAAGGACCCTTCAATCAAAGTAAGACAGGGACGATCTACATGGACCATTTTCATTCACAGCCCGAGTAGTTGATTTGTAGAAGACATTCCCCCCAAACTACCCCTACTCAAGGGCCTCTAGATACATGATGCCATCCCATGACAAGTTTGCGGACCTAAAAACATATTTTGACAGCCTATCCTCCCGCAAGACAAGTTCAGAGCTCATGTACTTTACTCTCTGTGGTCGGACAAAGTAATATTATTGAGTCTATCTACGCATCACTTGGTTGTTTTCCCGGCTGTGAGCATCCGATTTTCTTCTTCACGCCTTCTTCTTCCTCCGATGCCCACTGTTCTTCTTCCTCCTCGCCCTCGCCGCCTACTTCCCCTCCCCCCTTATTCTATGGCAGGCTCCGGCCATGGAGTCATGGACGCCCCCGCCCTGACCTGGACCCTAAGCCGTCCTCCCGCTGTCCCCACCGAATCGCCACCGACCCCCGGACCCCATTACGAGCCTGCGCAGGATTGGCGAAGAAGAGAGGGAGAGTCGAGAGGCGCGAACCCTAACGCCGACTACCTCCTCGCCGGGAACCCTCGCGGCTTGTTCTTCCTCTCTGGCGCGGGCACGGTAAGAGGCGGCGGAGAAATCGAGTGTTGAACACTCTGAGTATAGGTTAACATTTCTCATATTATTACATACCAGGCCAAAATGAGATATACAATGTTTTTTCATTATTATTTCAAAAGGATGGCAAGAGTTTCGCCACAAATTTTATTTGGCGATACAATGCAAAAATGAGAGGTACAAACAACACAAGGTAACCAGCCAGCCACCTCAACGGCCACGGATTGAAAGGGCGGCAGGACAACGCATTCTTGAACAGAGGTACCGCAAACCGGCACTCCTGTCCAGTGCAATCACGCAACCGCATTATCACGCTGATCGAATGATCTGCCCCGCCCCCGCTGCAACTGCAATATATCGATCGTACTACTACTGTGACCTGCATTGCAGAAAAATATTCTCTCTCGCCCGGTCGCCTACACGTAGACGTAGCACATCACATGGAGTCTATCTAGCGTAATCTCACCTGGGGACCTGGATTAGCCAGCAAATTAACGCTGATGCGGCCCCGGTGCGCCCTCAAGGGTCAAAGCCTGCCATCTCCGATCCAGCCCGCTAATCAAAGAAATCCCCGTCGTCCCCCCATGGAGATCCACCCCACGAGCGCCCAGCTCATCATTGTCGACCACTTGCATCATCCTACAGTTCGTCTCTTTCCTCCGACTGATCTCGATCCATCCCTCTATTTATACCCCGCCTCCCGCACATTCCTTCTTCACCAACTCCGGCGGCCGGTGCAGCAGGCAGCAGTGAACGTTCCTACGTCTAGCCCCTAGCTAGCTTAGTAGGTAGCTTGTTGGTGGTGCTTCGTATAAACAGTTAACATGGCGCCTCAAAGCTTGGATCTTGGGCTGAGTCTCGGCCTGGGCGTGGCGGTGTTTCAGCCCAGCTTCTGCCACCCCGGCAATGCCGCCGTCGCCGCGGCGGCGGAGCGGGAGGCCAGCCCGGATGCGGCGGAGGAGAGGGAGCGGAGGTGCTCGCCCGCCGGCAGCCCGGTGTCCAGCGGCAGCGGCAGCGGGAAGCGCGCCGCGGCGGAGAGGTCGTCCGGCAGCGGCAGCAGCGACGAGGGCGACGACGGGGCCGCTCGCAAGAAGCTGCGGCTGTCCAAGGACCAGGCCGCCGTGCTCGAGGAGTGCTTCAAGACGCACCACACCCTCACTCCGGTAAGCCTTCATTCTTCAATAAGACGTCGTTCCGAACAAGGATACACTGCAGCCAGAACGGCATGGCTGATCATTTGTTCGCTCGATCGTTCTCCCGTGCAGAAGCAGAAGGTGGCGCTGGCCAGCAGCCTGGCCCTCCGGCCGCGGCAAGTGGAGGTGTGGTTCCAGAACCGCCGCGCCCGGACCAAGCTCAAGCAGACGGAGGTGGACTGCGAGTACCTCAAGCGCTGGTGCGAGCAGCTCGCCGAGGAGAACCGCCGCCTGGGCAAGGAGGTCGCCGAGCTCAGGGCGCTCAGCGCCGCGCCGGCGCCGGCGGCCCCGCTCACCACCCTCACGATGTGCCTCTCCTGCAGGCGCGTCGCCTCCTCCTCATCCCCTTCGTCTAACACATCGCCGCCCAACATCACCGCCGCGCACGCGCACGCCGCAGCAGCTGCTGCCAATGGTGGGAGCATGGCGTCTCCGGCGGCGGCGGCGACGTTGCCCGCCCACCGGCAGTTCTTCTGCGGGTTCACAGACGCCGGGGCAGCCGCCGCCGCAGTGTACGGGATCTCAGCTGGGCTCGCAAAGGCGGTCAGAGCGGCCAGATAGGCAGGCTTAGTCGTTGTCCTGGCGACGCCATGGAAATGCATGGCCATGTTGCAACTGCAAAGCAAGTGTTGTAGCTGAACCTTAAAGCTTAAACTTTTTTTCTGTATCTTTATTAGATGGGAATTCATGCAAATGTTTTTAACAAGGTTAGGATCGGTTGATGAGCTCCCCTGAGGATGCATGTCATGTGTATCCATGCATGTGAAAAGCTGTTGAAATTAATAACAGTAGATGAGCTAACCCTCTGTACCAGAGTTTATTATTACAGACTTATTACAGTGCTAATTAATCAATCCAATGCCCCGTTCTGCAATCCGTTATCTTTTTGAGGCCTCGTTCGGTTGGGGTTGTAAACGATTCCCACCTGAGTTTCCTTCAATAATTTAAATAGCGTTGGATCGGTTCCGGACGGCCAGGAACGGCCTGGAACGGAGACAACCGAACAGGCCCTTAAGGGAATTTTCGAAACTATATATAGTTGCTGAATCATTTTGATTCAAGTGGTAGCAGAAAAGTTTAAACAATCAATCCCTGTCTTTAGCAACAGGGATTCAAGCTATTGGTTTCTGAACAGCTCGATCAACTTCATTTGGAGACAATCAACATTTGGAAGTTGGTTTAGAAGTAAGTAAAGGTGGACAGATGGTGTACCATCATCATCTGAGTCAATTTTCAGATGGTGAACAACGCAAGTTGGGAGTAATAAATATCTTAGTGTGACTTATGACAGCAGTAATAACTGGTTTTATCATCTAACCGCAGAAGAAGTGAAGAACGATATACACTCGGCACATACACATATCTATCTAGGTTGATTCCAGGAAATGAGTGGCAGCAGGTTATATTGCATTGATTCCTCCGATTTTTTTTTTTTGACACAGCGATAAGTAGGAGTTTCCCTGTCAGTGTCAGCATAAACACACACATTTACCCCAGGCACTATCCACGGCCGGTTGTTATGACCGAAAGTCTGAAACCATGCATCTCTGTTGGTGTCTGAAACTTGCTTTCCGGTGCTGATGATTGCGTTCGGACAGTACAGTTCTGCTGTTTGATGTGATGATTTGATCGAGGCTGGGAAAGCAGTTCAGGTTCACACCGTACGCCCTATAGCTGATGGACCATGCATGCATACCGAGTTACCGACTGCAGGCAACATGCATGGCATGCAGGCATGCAGCCATCAGGGAACTTGCCATGCCGAAGCTAGAACTCGAGCGGCCGAGCCTGCACCAGAACAGCACGCTGTCACCCTGCACTGCACGCCTCACTCGCCCATCAACCACTGCACAGCATGCAGACGTGGACGTCGTGCGTGGCCACGACGCAGCAGCAGGCCGGTAACATGCCAATGTCACTGGCATTGCCAGCCAGACACAGGACGGAGCTGCCCGCGTGCAGCCGCAGCGGCGCGGCAGCACTAGTCTGGTATTGGTATGTACGACCGACCGTTGTAAATTCCGTTGCACGTGGATGCCGCCGTTCCCAGTCCAGCTCCAGCCATGGCGAGCGACGGTCATGGATCGGAGCTAATAGCCAGCCAGACAGGCAGACACGACCGGCCGGTGAACACATGCATGAGCTGATCGAGCGGGATGCATGATGGAGGTAGAATCAGATGCCGGCGGGGGCGCACGAGCGCGCATGCGACGACGACGACGACGACGAAGCCGCCCCGAAACTGACCGGGTTCAAGCAACGCAAATCAGAGCTAGGCAGGACTGCTTTATTTTTTTTTAACTTGTTTTCATGTTATTCGAATATAAACACGGCAAGTTGTTGACATTATAAACCGCCACTAACGCGCTATTCATGTCTCCTTGTCGTTTAGGGCCGACCTGCTGTGTATATGCATATGTATATTGTAGTCTTCAATAAACATGTCTTGATCATTCTGTTGGTACATTTTATATAGAGTAACTCTTTTATATATATACACTCCATCCGTCTCAGAATACTTGATCTTGTATGATTTAAATTTTGTCCCAAAATACTTAACCTTCTCACTTTTCTATACACCTTTCTTTTCTTCCAATTTTTTTCCCAATACTCGATCTTTACTTTTATTTCTCTCTACCTCCCTCTTGTTTTTTATGCACCGTACTTTTTCACTGTTTCTTAATCTCTGTGTCCAAAGCCAAAACGCCCAATATTTTGGGACGGAGGGCGAGTAGGTTCTACTCCTATTTGGCATACCTCCGGTTTCTTGCTATATTGTGTACACCTGTTACTGACTCATTTTGATATAAGAAAAAATAAAAATGGTTCTCCTTATTACTATATAGAGCTCCACCCAAATTAAAAGAGACCATAGTTCTGCGTGATCGTTTATAGTTTTGCAAATTGAATAGCAATAACATTGATGAAAACTCTACTAACCTTCCTCTATGTGGTACGGAGTATATGCTAAAAATGCTTCTTTGTGGAAATTAAATATAGATGCTTTTATATGTGCTAGATAGTGTCTTAATTAAAAAACAAGAGAAGATTATATAGTACTCCTACTCTGTTATAGGGACGAGGTCTAGTATACTCTATTATTAAAAGAAAAAAAAGGCAAAAAGAAAAGGAGAGAAAGGGGAAATAGAATAGTGGCGTGGTGACAGGGCCGAATGTTGACTGGCACTAGACAAAGATGAAAGCTGCTGGGCGGGGGCCGCCGCTGACCGGCGTTTGCACGTGTGGGCGACATGCCCGTACGCCGGGCCTCGCTGGCGCCCGCCTCGGGATTCGACGACGCAACGGCAACGCCCACGTCCGTCCTCTCTCTCATCTCGTCGTCGTCCTCCGATCCCCTCTCCCCGGCCGGCTCGGCCCGTCCATGGATCGATCGCCGCTGTACGTCATGGCGTGTTAGTTTAGTACTAAACTAGTGTTTTGTTTGATTACGGCCATGTTGTTGCTATCCTGTCCGTCCATGCATGCATTGGCCGCCTACGCAATTTAGAATCAACCCAGTCGCCCCTAGCTTACCCTAGCTAGCCTGCCAGTGTATTGCCTTGCCGGTGTATTGCTTCGCAGCGACGACGACGCCGACCCGGCCATTTGGCCACGCATTGCTCTCCCTCGTGATTCGTGCACCGTGACGACCCGGCGGATTTGCCGGCCGGGGCTGTCGGAGAGATCTCGGGTGCCTTGTTGTGTGTCTGCTAGGGCATGGGGCATGCGATGGCTGGCGACGACGTGCGGCAGCCGGCACGAACGGAACGGAACGGAACGGGCGGGGGGCGCTGTTTCGTTTGGACGCTAGCGGGACCTCAGCTCCACCAACGCAACGGCTTGGATGGGCGGGCCGGGGTGTCTGTGTCCCTCTCATCTCCACTCCATTGGCTGCGGTTCTTCTCTATGAGCTTCTATCCCTTCCCACGATGCATTTCTTGCCATGCATGTTTCAAATAAATTAAAGGTGCGTGTGCTAGAGAGACTATGCAATATATAATGTAGCATTTCTTTTGTGTAATATAAGTAAGTTTGGGAAAAAGGAAATTAAATAAGCAGGGAAGAAAGTGAAACAAGGCGGGGAGGAAAAAATGATAGGGAATATATATTTGTCTTGTAATGCTGATTTCTGTCAGAGCTAGTAGCGTGCACATTGCTATTCAGTCGTCTCAGATCAAATGATCGATAGCCATCTGATCCCAGTCATACACAAATCCTCCATGTTCAGGCACCATTAGTATATATATCATAGCAATGCTTAAGAGTTACTAGTACATGAGATCGAGCTAGCAAATTATTCGGTCCAACAGGCAGAGCAGTACTTTACTAAACAAACACACAAACAAAGGATTAAAGAAGAAGCTGAAGGCAGGCACAGGCATGTAACCTCCCACGTACACAATTATTGGGATACGCATACCACACATGCATACACTAGTGCACTGTTCTCCAGGCCAGCATACATACATACCCATCGACGATGATGATGGATGGATCTGCACTCTGTAGGAAGGATGATGGCCGAAAACGAAATGAAATGATTACCGCCAGAGGCCCGGGGTGGCCATGTGCCCCCCTGGAACATTATATGCAATTATTTAGCAGGTAGAAGTTACCGACCGATCCATCGGTCCAGCTGCCCTAATTACATGCTCTGCTCTGCTCTGCAATTATTATTTAACTAATCATCATCAACTTGCATTCACCTCTCCCGCCCATAATGGCTCACCCCACCCTGCAGTGGTTTTCACAACACGCCTATGTCGGCCTGCCAACATACTCCTATATATTATCAACTTGTATGTACTATGTACATGTCCTCCTCCTCGTCTTCTTCTTAGGTGCAAATTAAAATGCCCTTGGTTGTAAATATAATCAGTCATCTCGTACATATATTGGCACTCCCTATGATGCGATGAGCCTAGTCCGTCAATTGTAAAATATAACGGATTTTCAGATGTTCTAAGTCAACCATCCTAAGTTTGACAAGTCTATAGAAAAGAAACAATAACGTAGAAAACCAATAGTATCTACGATGGCAAATGAACTTCATTAGATACATTATGAAATGTAATGTCATATATAATTTACATCTTAGTTGTGGTAGATGCTACCACTTTTTTCTTCAAACTTAGTCAAACTTCAAGATGGATTGACTTAAGATGGCGGACTATACAGAGGGAGTACAAGAGTACTACACATACACTATATATGAAATAAAAAATGTAATTTTTATAAACATCGTGGTACCGTACCGTGTGAGTTTTTCATAGCAGTGAGGCTAATAATACAACCGGCTGCTGACTGTAAGAATCTTTACAACCCATCTCTCAGCCTATTCATATGGTAGTTATTAACTCTTTCACTATTAATACATGGCCCACTTATCTCTCTCACAAAGTTTCTTAGTTCTTGTGTCTAAGCTAGCTGTAACAGCCCGTTTCTCGTCTCTCTCATCTTCTCTCTCTTCCACCTCATCAGCCCTCGGCCTGCTTACAACATGTTATTATACTTGCTCTAAGAGATCAACACCTTCCAATGTAATGCATGCGCTACTAGTT